GTGTGTGTGGTGAGTATGTGAGGGGTGTGTGGTGAGTATGTGAGGGGTGTGTGGTGAGTATGTGTGGGGTGTGTGGTGAGTATGTGAGGTGTGTGTGGTGAGTATGTGAGGGGGTGTGTGGTGAGTATGTGAGGTGTGTGTGGTGAGTATGTGAGGGGGTGTGTGGTGAGTATGTGAGGGGGTGTGTGGTGAGTATGTGAGGTGTGTGTGGTGAGTATGTGAGGTGTGTGTGGTGAGTATGTGAGGGGGTGTGTGGTGAGTATGTGAGGTGTGTGTGGTGAGTATGTGAGGGGTGTGTGGTGAGTATGTTAGGGGGTGTGTGATGAGTATGTGAGGGGTGTGTGGTGAGTGTGTGATGAGTATGTGAGGGGGTGTGTGATGAGTATGTGAGGGGTGTGTGGTGAGTGTGTGATGAGTATGTGAGGGTGTGTGTGATGAGTATGTGAGGGGTGTGTGGTGAGTGTGTGATGAGTATGTGAGGGGGTGTGTGATGAGTATGTGAGGGGGTGTGTGGTGAGTATGTGAGGTGTGTGTGGTGAGTATGTGAGGTGTGTGTGGTGAGTATGTGAGGGGTGTGGTCGACACGATGGTCCGCTAGCTAGACATTGTCCTACTAGAAGAACATAATTGCCCTCATGCTGCTCTAGAGGGTCAACATGGCGCCTAAGTGAGGCGGAGGCTGGCAGGGAGTGGCAGAGGCTGGTACAGAAATACCCTCCACGAGAGCTGACGAATATGAACACCACACATGTTCTTGCCAGAGTCTCCTATCCTCTCTTATTCTTTAATGCAAGATGAGAATGAAACCAAATTTATTCTTTAATTTTAACATAAATTACAAGAACTTTGTAGAAAAAAAATACCGAAATTGACAGAGAATATGATAAACCAATTTTTCATCGTACATTTATTGCAATCAATTTTCATGTAGTTTTCAAGACTGAAACTATAATTTGTGTACATAAATACAAGATACATTCGGTTGGGTTCGGACCTGAAATAAGTCCTATTAACGGCAGCAAATAATTCATATTTCTTTTTGTGCCGGAAGACAGGTGTGTGTACTCACCTAGTTGTACTCGCCTAGTTGTGTCTACAGGATCGAGCATTGACTCTTGGATCCCGTCTTTCGAGCATCGGTTGTTTACAGCAATGACTCTGGTCCTATTTTCCTATCATACCTAGTTTTAAAATTATGAATAGTATTTGCTTCCACAACCTGTTCCTTAAGTGCATTCCATTTTCCCACTACTCTCACGCTAAAAGAAAACTTCCTAACATCTCTGTGACTCATCTGAGTTTCAAGCTTCCATCCATGTCCCCTCGTTCTGTTACTATTCCGTGTGAACATTTCATCTATGTCCTACCTATGTGTGTGTGTGTGTGTGTGTGTGTGTGTGTGTGTGTGTGTGTGTGTGTGTGTGTGTGTGTGTGTGTGTGCAGCATGTGGCGCCCTCTAGTTGGGAAATCGAAATGGAATCACAAGCTTGTGCCATGCATACATTATACACACACATGTGTATTCGTATACATAGATGGGACTGATCATATCGCCTAAACTGTTTAGTGTGACAAGGACAAGTGTAGCTCTCTTCATGGCCTTGCCGAAGCCTCGCCCGTCAGAGGTACAGCAGGAAAAAATCTCATGTTGATGACACGAGTGTGTGAGAAAGCAAGGGAGGGTAAGGGGTTGGGTGAGTCACGCTGCCAGCAGCTATACGAGCAGGGGGGGGGGATCTGTAGGAGCCACAGGCAGGGAGGGGGAGCCTGTAGGAGCCACGGGCTGAGGGGGGGACCTGTAGGAGCCACGGGCTGGGGGGGGACCTGTAGGAGCCACGAGCAGGGAAGGAGAGAAGGGACCTGTAGGAGCCACGGGCTGGGGGGGGGGACCTGTAGGAGCCACGGGCTGGGGGGGGGACCTGTAGGAGCCACAGGCAGGGGGGGGAGCCTGTAGGAGCCACGGGCTTGGGGGGGGGTGGAGGGAGCGTACTAAAGCAACAGGCAGGCAGGCAGGGAAGGACCCTCGAGAATCAACATTATCCCTCCTTTCCTACCTCAGTCCCTCCCTCCCTCCCTCAGTCCCTCCCTCCCTCCCTCCCTCCCATTCTTCCTTACCCCCTCTCATATTCCCTCCCGTTCTCTCTCCCAATGGGCAAAACATTCTCGAGTAACATTAAAAGTAGATTCATCATTAGTAACGTTAATTTAATCATTTGTTGACGTTAAAAACAGCCGTGACTCCAGTTAGAAAGAACGCTATCAAATTCACATTTCGGACTTCATAGGGATAATTTGTCATAGCACTAGGAGCCTAACCTTGTTGGTGAGTCAGTGTGACGATGGCACGTGTCAGTGTGTTATTATTATTAACATATTTATTGACAATATTAATTACAATTTTGCCTAATCCGTGTCAGTGTGATGGGGCGAGAAGAGATGGGGCGAAACTGTGGCACTAGTCAGCCTTTAATCGCCAGCTGGTTGGTGGCGAGCGGCCAACTGCCACCAGAGTCCTGCGTCAACCCATAGCGCCGCCCACGGGTGCAAGGTTGGGGTGGTGCCACCCACGTGAGGGGGCGGTGTCGCCCACAGATGGCAGGTTTGGTAGCACCTGCAAGCTCCTGTATGATCTCCACTGTCATACGAGGCTTCATAAGCCCTCCTCCTCCTCCTCCTCCTCCCTGACCTGCCTCCAGCCACCCCGCCTCGCCTGGTCAAGACCGCCTTAACTACACAGTAGTTCAAACTTTCGGTGCTGATGATTATAGTCATATGTCCTAACCCTCACATGAGTGCTTGTCTGTCATTCGAGTACTCCTACTCTCGCCGTCAAAGTTGAACTCTAGCTCTGCGACCACAGCTGTTCACAGACCACAGCCCCGGGTGACATTACAGGGTGCCTTTATGTGCAGCTTGTCTACCTAGGCATGTTAACCTTGTATATGGCTTACTTGCTATGGCTGGTTTCCCAGCGACTGTTCTAGCATGTTAGGAGCCGGGGCAGGTACTCTCCTAGTTGTGCTTGCGGGGGTCAAGCTTCGGCTCTTTGGTCACACCTCTCAATCAACTGGTGTACAGATTCCCGAGTGATGATTGATGAAGATTAACCACCTAAGAGGTGGCACGGGCATGAACAGACTGTAAAAAGGTTCCTGAGCCTATTGGGTTCTATCATATATACATGTGAAACTATGTATGGAGTCTTCCTCCACCACATCACTAATGCATTCCGTTAGTTAACTACTCTGACACTGAAAAAATATATTTTTCTAATGTCTTTGGCTGTGACACCAGGACGTTTTGGAGACCTGGTGACCATTTCTATTTAGATATTCTATTTGTATGTTTATATAACTATATAGAATTATTTATTTTTATTATAACTTCAAAGGTACAACGGGTTGCAAAAATAGATTTTGCAAAGCCATATAATAGGCGTAGAGTTGAATCGATCATCTTCCCGTTTTGCTTCAACCCTGCAAGGTACACACACTTGCACTCTATGAAGTCTGGTTCTAAAAACTTCAGTCCATCCACAGCACATCTTTATAGTGGCACTTGTGGCGCCACCAGGACTGGTTACATTGCTGATTGTGCTATCAACTATTGCAATTACATAGTTCTTTTTCATTATTCCTTTGTTTCGTCTCCAAAGGGTTAGTTCAGACCAGTGTTGTCTCGGACCTCTTGAATCCCGGAATTTAACGGCGTTGTGTTCTTACTAGTTTCTTGCTTTCACTTAATTTATATCTAATTGAAATATATTCTACTCTTAAAAATATCCCGAAGAGGCAATAGTATCTACTGATGGACATGAGTACTCGAGCGCACATTTTCTTATCCTGCAAAACCGGCCACATGTTGAATGGCCGCTCTCCAGGTCACTGGACCTGCCCCAAGTCACCCCAAAGACACACTAACTAATTTTCTCTTAACAAGCTTACCAGTGGAAACCACTCCACCCACAACTAAGTTCCTTAGGCCCACTAAACCCCACCTCTCAAAGACGAGTCAATGAATTCAAACCAAAACTGGGCGCTCTAAAGGCTTGGCCAATGGTTGTCGGGCACTACCCTGGGGGACTCCGCCTCTTGAGTCTTGGGCCAACCAGTGCCATGAGCCTAACCTTCCTAGGCCTCCCTGGCTTTCAACCAATCAAGCTCCAGGCTAAGCTAGGCCTGTCCAGAAGGGTCTGTAACGCTTGACAGAAAATCTCATGTAACTGGAAATAAGTAATACAACCAGCTCGTGGGAACAAGCTGGTCTGGCCAGCCACCCAAACGAAATTTGAGAACTACGGTTTTATGGCACAGAGTTTTACTGCCCCTCAAATTTGTCAATGGCAAGGGAGAGGGGAAAGAGTGGGGGTAAAGAGGGAATTGAATGGGGATGAAATGGGCACGAAGAGGGCCAAGAGGGGAACTGTCCAGCCACCAGGAGTCTCTTGACTCTACGGTTTATGACCGGTGAGGGCCGGACTGTGATAAAGGGGGAGGGGGGAAGGAAATAAGCGGAGGAGAAGACGAACGAGGGCAAGGGGAGAGGGGAGAAGCAATGGTCTGAACACAGATCATTACATCACAAATTGATAATGTGATGGTTACAGTACCACAAACTACATCTGCACTTAGTATCCAGGATGCTTCGTTTAACCTGTGACGGCCCAAAGTGTTTAACGTGGAATAAGCTTCTTCTACATGTCACTGGTATGTGATAGTGCAGAGAAAGAGCTCCAGCAGGATGGTTTATTAGATATTTAACAAAAAATTAACATGTAACTATAGTTGAGAGAGGGTGGGATGGATCATCCGTCCTCCGAACAGCACGTCGCATTTTAACGTATACTTTACCTTAGGCCAAAAATCTAGAAAATGGTAGCCGCGGAATTGACACTGTCCCGATTTCTGTTAGTGGGTCCTCTGGTAGGTTAGAATAAGGCACATTAGTACGACAATTTCTGGGCGTTGGGAACGCGCTCGAGAACGGGGTAGAGGACTCACCACAGACGGGGTAGAGGACGAGGAGAGAGCAGCCGAGGATCACCCCCATCACCAGTACGGCGGTCTTCATGCCGCCCGCCGCCATCTTCCTCACTCGCAAGCCACACCTGGGGAAGACGGAACAGTTAGGTAGCGTCATTATCATAAGTTCTCGGTCTCGTCTCTTTGACTCGCCAAGTTTCCTACGGCAGACTTTGGTCACCGGGGCAGTCATGACGAGTCGACATTTACCTCTCCCCCCCTCCTTTCCCACCACCTTTCCCACCACCTTTCCCTCATTAATTTCATCCTAGCCGAAAAAAAACTTAAAGATTACCCTCAGCGCACCTCATCCAAGAAGCACATTTCAGGTAGTACCCTTCTCTCGGGCAGGTGGTAGTACTCCTCTCAGATGAGTACTACCACCTCATGAGAGAGTACTACCTCTTAAGAAGAGACTCTACCTCTTGTCACCCCATTAGCCCTACGATAAGAGCCAAGTCTTCCCAGAGTTAACAGGATTATGGAACTCGCTACGATGATATAGACACAAGCTTTAATACTGTGCTAATTACAAAGGGAAAGAAATGGCAGAGTGAGACAAGATGGAGCTGCTGGAATAAGCACCGGAGCCCGTGTCTGCAGGGATGTCACCTCGCTGGAAAGTTTTTACTCCGTGGAATTTGACTCAGTGTAAGAATAAAATAAAAATGATAATAAGTATAGTATGTTGCAGCACGCGCGCACACACCTGTCTTTATGAAATTAACGGAGAGGCAGAAAGTAATTATATCAACCCTACGCTGATGGGTCTGCCTTCCCTACTACTGGCAGAGAGGGTGTCATATACGCTGCATTTAAAAATAATATCTTTCAAAGTGAAAATGAAGATAAAGCACAGACTGAGAACTATGCCTCCTAATTTCTAGCAGAACTAGCATTTATTATGACCTTAGGATACCTAGAACACAGCACAACTCAAGACCTGTTACACAGAGTTTTAGTGAAAAAATAGCAGAATACAGAGGTACAGGAGCTGAAATAAGAGAACTGTGAAAATGCTAACAAACAGAGGAAGGGTGGTAAAGATCCTATTGTTCCCACTCGTGTTGGAATCTGTGGCAATGAACGACCAGATGTGCTAGCGGCTAAGGGTGCTACCAGGGGCTATGTTCAATACTTTATCTTCAAGGTTCTTCTACACATGAGAGCATGTATCGGACACCAGCACAGTGAGGAAAGAAAATTAAAAAGGGAATCTGTATGTTGACCCAAGACAGTTACAACCGAACATCTCAATCCTTACATAAAAAGATGATATAGAGAGAGATCGTGTAATGGCTAGAATTCGTCTTGGATACAAGTGCCGTGGAGATTGGGACTATAAAATGTAAGTGAAGAGCGGAGTTAGAGGAGCTCCATGGCGGGAAAGACACACACCCTAGACCACTACCTGAGACTACCCAATAACACACGCCAACACGTACGTACGTGTAGTCTATTAAATTTAGGAAAACATTATTTGTCAGTTATAAATGCTGTTGAGATACTGTTCTTAAAATATTCGCCCAACTTTTCCTTAGCAAGAAATCTTAAAGGGTAAATGTTGATCTCCTTGTTTGATGAACTGTTCACTTGTGACAGTTAAGTCTGGGTGCGTCTGGGTATAAGTGACCACAATAATCAACGCAGTGGAGTTTCTTCCTATTGTGGGGGGGGGGGTGTTCTGTATACTCCCATGGCGGTGTGTTCACTCACAGGATGAATGACACTGTCATACCTAGAGTATACCTGGAGGGGGGTTTTGGAAGTTCTTCTCTCAAAGTCCGGCCTGGCCTGTGATAACTTGGTTCAACAGTCTGTTGCTTGGAGCGTAGTGGAGGCCTACATACCCACTACAACCTGGATGGTCGGGCACGTCTCGTGGGAACATAAATTTTTCTCTTGAATGAATCTACGTTTCTTGCTGCTATATTTCTTATGTTTGCTGGGAGGATATTGAATAGCTGGGGATTTCTGATGTTCATACAGTGTTCTCTGATTGAACCTTACTCTACGTTCACTCGCAGGACGAGTGACGCTGCACGATAAACTCTTGCTTCTGCCCATAATGTAAACCAAAATGGGAGCCTCCTAGGGGAGTACACTTCATATGGCGTCAACCTCCACCTGCACCATTCACGCCGTGGTAATATCCTCCCTGTAGTACCACCCTCCACACGGTACCGCCTCCAAGATGTACCTTCCTTCACCCTGTACCTCTGTTCGCTCTTTCCCACGTGGTGCCTCCCTGCATACCAGGCGTGGTAAGTGTGGCAGTGTTACGCACTGGAGAGGAAATGTGAGGCATGTGGCCGGCACTTGTTCCTGTCACTGTGCCACTGGCCCTCCCTCGCCTCCCCCCTCCCCACCACCACTACCTTGCCCACCATCACCACCATCACTAGCACCATTATCACCAGTATCACGCCAAAAACAATAAGTATTCACTGGGGGCAGTAAGTAGGTTGATAAAGGGAAAGTGGGGTGGGTGGTGGTCGATCAAGGGGTGACTGTACTGTAATGTATTAATCACCAGGAACCCATAATTGAACGTATGCTCCTCCTCCCACACTCTTCCCCTTCCCTCCTCTTCTTAGTTTTCCTCCTTCATAGTACTTCTTTTACCATCACTCGATTTTCAAAGCTATTGTCTTATAAGACAATAACCACACACTAGAAGGTGAAGGGACGACGACGAAGTATCAGTCCGTCGTGGACCATTCTCAAGTCGATTGAGAAGTCGGTGGGAATCGAAGATTCGTCGTTGGAGGAAGTGAGAAGTTACCTAGTGTCTGGTATGGCAACCTGTCCTTAGAGAGGCGTGGTACTTTCTCTGCTTGAATCACTTGTGATATACATATCAATAGATTGTTATGTGTTTGTGTATATGTATTTGTGTACGTGTGTGTATATCTCTGTAATATTAACAATTGTGCAACTAGTTTCACAAGATTGACACTTAGCTAAGCGAACTATAGGGTTCAGTTCCTGAACTTTTATGTACCTCTGTAACCCTTTCCACCAAAGCCGACGAGATAGTTATGGGGCGCATAATAAATAAATTAAATTTATTTATTATACAACACCTTGCAAGATGGCCCCAAATGAGCCCCATGGTTGGCATGGAGAGCACCCTGGGAGCAATATGTGACGGGTAGTTATTGTGTTGAGAGGTGCTGGTCTGCCCCACTGGGTGCTGGTCTGCCCCACTGGGTGCTGGTCTGCCCCACTGGGTGCTGGGCGTGTGTGGTAACCGGTAATATAGGGTTGCTAATGCTGCTGCTGTCATTGCCGCTGCTGGTGTTGTGTACCCAGATTGTGTAAAAGGTAGTAGTAGTCTCAGTGTGCAGGCGGCAGTAGTAATATATGGAGCGTGTGGATGAGTTTTAGGAGTATGGTAAATAGATTGGAGGCAGTATGTGGTTGGCTCTCTGGGTCACTTGGTCACGGCAGTTTGACTACACACGACTCTCGACTAGAGTCGGCGAGTTGTTGTTATTGACATCTTTATTGACAACAATTAATTACAATTTTGCCTAATCTGAGGAATTCAATTGGGTCTTATTAAGGTGTGGACAATGCTGGTATTAACTGTCACACAGGACAAGACAAGAAGACCATACACAAGACAAGAGGCCTACACTGTAGGCTGAAGCACTCGGGGAAGTGTCCGGAAGTGCAGTTTGGGACGGTCATTGTCACGCCTCATAGGTATGAGAACACGGGTTCACATGTTGACCAGAAGTGGTCTGAGGAAGCTGAATAAAAAAGTCGACAGCATTTGACAGAGCTCATTACTGGACGGGACGTCAATGTAGTAGTACGGACTGTGCCGGGCTGGCTGAGTACGGGTTTGACACGTCCAGCTCCTCACGCCCCTCCTCACACCCACCGAGTGGCCCCGACGTCCCTGGTGAATGTTGCGAGTTGCTTTCTTGTGAGTATGAGTGACTGACTTTAGCCTGGTGATTTGAGAGAGAACTAAGGCAGGTCTCTAGCGATTAGTGACTTGGAGATCAGTGATATTAGGATTTAGGATGTGACCAGCGGTGACTGGTGAGGATCGTGGTTTGGGACTCGCATAGGAGTTGTGGGCTAGTGTATATGTGTGATAAATTGTGTACATAGATATACACTTAGGTGTGTTTAGTTAACCCCTGAGTTTCCTTGCCGTGTGGGTGGCCTCTGTGTAGGAGGCTGGTGCATGCATGAAGGGGTATCGGTGCTTGTGAATACATCATTGGTGGTTATAATGTGGCCTTATATAGTGTTAGTGTGAATTAATGGAATACTGAGTATAATTAGTACAGTAGTGTGTTTGGCACAACATTAATGCTGTTGTTACTGATGAAGATGATGCTGCTGCTGGTGGTGCTGCTGCTCTTATTGCTGTTGTTGATGTTGCTGGCGATGTTGTTGTTGTTGCTCAAGCTACTGCTGTTTCTGGTGGTAGTGTTGCTACTCTTATTGATGCTGTAGCTGAAGCTTCTGCCTCATCAAAGCAGTAGCTACTTATACCGTTTATCGAGGCTGTTGTTGCTACTGCTGTTTCTGGTGGCGGTGCTGCTACTCTTATTGCTGCTGCTGCTGCTGTTGCTGAAGCTACTACTGGTGTTGCTACTGCTGTTTCTGGTGGTGGTGTTGGTGGGAGCGTGCCGGGCGGCGCCCTTGCCAGGGTATTTGTGGCGCGCGCCCTCTGCACTTGCTGGGTCCTGAGGGTCACGCCAACACTGCCACACGTCAACACACTAATATCGGCCTCCGTGCATGCCTCAGGCTCCCGCATTTTAATCCTTTTGCACCTGTTGAGGAACATCTGCAAGAGTGAACCATGATTGCCTTTGCAAATGTTGGAGGTTGCAAATGCCTTGCAACCAACCAGGTGAGGTAGCAACAGTACCCACACTTGCTGAACATTCAAATCGTCACACTGCATTCGTCTATATTTGCACTCAAGGAATGTATGCTTACAAACCAGGATAGAATATCAGGACCATAAAAGCATAGAAATGGGCGGTTTTACTTCAAAATAGAACAAACGGTAAACTTCGCTAAAAGTTAGGTTAGTGAATTTACTCTTAAACACATTAAGTAAACCCGTGTAAACTGTGCGTGTTTCCCCAGGAGAAAACTGGTTGTAATACTTATTCCGTATTGGGTAAATACATAATAAAACGCCCTTAGATTCCCGAATAGTTCAATTCATGGCGAGATCCAAGAGTGACACACAGCTGGGCTCTAAGATAGGTTAGTGAAGGTGAGAACCAGGTGGGTAAGGAAGGCACCGAGTGCCCAGGGCACGGTGGGGCACGCTGGGGCCAGCAACCAGATGCCAGAGACGCCGACCTCATCACCGGTGACTGTACCCTCACTATCACAAAGGCTTATTCTTGATACCCTCTCTTGGTCTCGCTCCTATCATTTCAGCTTCATTCACAGAATGTGACCCGATGCTTAGCTCTTTGACCGCGCATTTTCTAACAGCTTGATGCAGACACGAGTAAAAAATGCACAAATAGTAGATAAGAAGGGGCGCGCGCGCTGACACACACACACACACACACACACACACACACACACACACACACACACACACACACACACACACACACAGACCTACCAGAAATATGGAAGACGGCGAATGTGGTCCCAATATACAAAAAGGGCGACAGACAAGAGGCACTGAACTACAGGCCAGTGTCCTTGACTTGTATACCATGCAAGGTGATGGAGAAGATCGTGAGAAAAAACCTGGTAACACATCTGGAGAGAAGGGACTTCGTGACAAATCGCCAACATGGATTCAGGGAGGGTAAATCTTGCCTTACAGGCTTGATAGAATTCTACGATCAGGTGACACAGATTAAGCAAGAAAGAGAGGGCTGGGTGGACTGCATTTTCTTGGATTGTCGGAAAGCCTTTGACACAGTACCGCATAAGAGGCTGGTACATAAGCTGGAGAGACAGGCAGGTGTAGCTGGTAAGGTGCTCCAGTGGATAAGGGAGTATCTAAGCAATAGGAAGCAGAGAGTTACGGTGAGGGGTGAGACCTCCGATTGGCGTGAAGTCACCAGTGGAGTCCCACAGGGCTCTGTACTCGGTCCTATCTTGTTTCTGATATATGTAAATGATCTCCCGGAGGGTATCGATTCATTTCTCTCAATGTTTGCGGACGATGCTAAAATTATGAGAAGGATTAAAACAGAAGAGGACTGTTTGAGGCTTCAAGAAGACCTAGACAAGCTGAAGGAATGGTCGAACAAATGGTTGTTAGAGTTTAACCCAACCAAATGTAATGTAATGAAGATAGGTGTAGGGAGCAGGAGGCCAGATACAAGGTATCATCTGGGAGAGGAAATTCTTCAGGAGTCAGAGAAGGAAAAAGACTTGGGGGTTGATATCACGCCAGACCTGTTTCCTGCAGCACATATCAAGCGGATAACATCAGCGGCATATGCCAGGCTGGCCAACATACGAACGGCATTCAGAAACTTGTGTAAAGAATCATTCAGAACTTTGTATACCACATATGTCAGGCCAATCCTGGAGTATGCAGCCCCAGCATGGAGTCCATATCTAGTCAAGGATAAGACTAAACTGGAAAAGGTTCAAAGGTTTGCCACCAGACTAGTACCCGAGCTGAGAGGTATGAGCTACGAGGAGAGACTACGGGAATTAAACCTCACTTCGCTGGAAGACAGAAGAGTTAGGGGGGACATGATCACCACATTCAAGATTCTGAAGGGGATTGATAGGGTAGATAAAGACAGTCTATTTAACACAAGGGGAACACGCACAAGGGGACACAGGTGGAAACTGAGTGCCCAAATGAGCCACAGAGATATTAGAAAGAACTTTTTTAGTGTCAGAGTGGTTGACAAATGGAATGCATTAGGGGGTGATGTGGTGGAGGCTGACTCCATACACAGTTTCAAGTGTAGATATGACAGAGCCCGATAGGCTCAGGAATCTGTACACCTGTTGATTGACGGTTGAGAGGCGGGACCAAAGAGCCAGAGCTCAACCCCTGCAAACACAACTAGGTGAGTACACACACACACACACACACACACACACACACACACACACACACACACACACACACACACACACACACACACACACACACACACACAGTAGGCTCAGGAATCTGTACGTCAGTTGATTGTCGGTTGAGAGGCGGGACCAAAGACCCAGAGCTCAACCTCCGCAAGTACAACTAGGTGAGTACACCCAATATATGCAGCACTTGTATGATGCCCAAATCTCAAGAAGCGCACAAACTGGAAAAGATGCAACGTCATGCTACAAAATGGCTTCCGGAACGGAAGAACAAGAGTTAAGGAGACTGAAGGTGTTAAACATGCCAAAATTAGAAGATAGAAGAAAAAGGAGATATGATCACCACTTGCAAAATACTAATAGGAATAGACCAAATTGACAGAGGAATTCCTGAAACCAGCAACTTCACGAACAAGAGGACAGATTCAAGCTAAGGAAACAAAGATGCCGAAGAAATATTAAAGTTTTCTTTTGCAAACAGAGTGGTAGACGGTTGGAACAAGCTAAATGAGAAGGTGGTGGAGGCTAAAACCGTCAGTAGCTTCAAAACGTTGTATGACAGAGTACTGGGAAGACGGGACACCACGAGCTTACCTCTCATGCTATAACTACACTCGTGTAATTACACACACACATCGCTGTGTGTGTGTGTGTGTGTGTGTGTGTGTGTGTGTGTGTGTGTGTGTGTGTGTGTGTGTGTGTGTGTGTGTGTGTGTGTGCGCGCGCTCACACAACCTCACGTCGCTGGAAGACAGAAGAGTTAGGGGGGACATAATCACAACGTACAAGATTCTCGGGAATTGACAAAGTAGATAAAGACAGGCTATTTAACACAAGGGGCACACGCACTAGAGGACACATTTGGAAATTAAGTGGCCAAATGAGCCACAGAGATATTAGAATTTTTTTTAGTATCAAAGAAGTTGACAAATGGAATGCATTAGGCAGTGATGTGGTGGAGGCTGACTCCATACACAGTTTCAAGTGTTGATATGATAGAGCCCAGTAGGCTCAGGAATCAGTTGATTGACAGTTGAAAGGCAGGATCAAAGAGCCAGAGCTCAACACCCGCAAGCACAAATAGGTGAGTACACACACAAGAAGCGAGAACGTAGCTGTACAGGAAAAGTTGCAAGTGGCCGAGTACGCAGAGATATTGGATATAGATACACCGGTTGCTTGATAGGTGTGTATTCACCTAGTTGTGTTTGCGGGATATCTTGAGGTTATCTTGAGATGATTTCGGGGCTTTTAGTGTCCCCGCGGCCCGGTCCTCGACCAGTCCTCCACCCCCAGGAAGCAGCCCGTGACAGCTGACTAACACCCAGGTACCTAATTTACTGCTAGGTAACAGGGGCATAGAGTGAAAGAAACGCTGCCCATTTGTTTCTGCCGGGCCCGGGAATCGAACCCCGGTCCACATGACTACGTATCAAGCGTGCTGCCCACACAGCCACCGGTATGTGTGTTGCTTAGCTGGATAAGAGGCAACGCTTATAATTAAGAATCAAAACGATGTGAGCTGCAGAGTCAAGTGCCAGGAGTCAGCTGATTCACAGTGCCAGGATGAGGGTCGGGTGGCTAGCAGTGCCAGGAATGAGGGGTCGGGTGGCTAGCGGTGCCAGGATGAGGGGTCGGGTGGCTAGCGGTGCCAGGATGAGGGGTCGGGTGGCTAGCAGTGCCAGGAATGAGGGGTCGGGTGGCTAGCAGTGCCAGGATGAGGGGTCGGGTGGCTAGCAGTGCCAGGGATGAGGGGTCGGGTGGCTAGCAGTGCCAGGGATGAGGGACCGGGTGGCTAGCAGTGCCAGGGATGAGGGGTCGGGTGGCTAGCAGTGCCAGGATGAGGGGTCGGGTGGCTAGCAGTGCCAGGATGAGGGGTCGGATGGCTAGCAGTGCCAGGGATGAGGGGTCGGGTGGCTAGCAGTGCCAGGGATGAGGGACCGGGTGGCTAGCAGTGCCAGGGATGAGGGGTCGGGTGGCTAGCAGTGCCAGGATGAGGGGTCGGGTGGCTAGCAGTGCCAGGATGAGGGGTCGGGTGGCTAGCAGTGCCAGGGATGAGGGGTCGGGTGGCTAGCAGTGCCAGGGATGAGGGACCGGGTGGCTAGCAGTGCCAGGGATGAGGGGTCGGGTGGCTAGCAGTGCCAGGATGAGGGGTCGGGTGGCTAGCAGTGCCAGGGATGAGGGGTCGGGTGGCTAGCAGTGCCAGGGATGAGGGGTCGGGTGGCTAGCAGTGCCAGGGATGAGGGGTCGGGTGGCTAGCAGTGCCAGGATGAGGGGTCGGGTGGCTAGCAGTGCCAGGATGAGGGGTCGGGTGGCTAGCAGTGCCAGGGATGAGGGACCGGATGGCTAGCAGTGCCAGGGATGAGGGGTCGGGTGGCTAGCAGTGCCAGGGATGAGGGACCGGGTGGCTAGCAGTGCCAGGGATGAGGGGTCGGGTGGCTAGCAGTGCCAGGATGAGGGGTCGGGTGGCTAGCAGTGCCAGGATGAGGGGTCGGGTGGCTAGCAGTGCCAGGGATGAGGGGTCGGGTGGCTAGCAGTGCCAGGATGAGGGGTCGGGTGGGTAGCAGTGCCAGGATGAGGGGTCGGGTGGCTAGCAGTGCCAGGATGAGGGGTCGGGTGGCTAGCAGTGCCAGGGTGAAGGTCAGCTGACCTAGTGTCTAACGTGTCTCCCTCAAGAGACTGTCTTGCCACGAACTCTGTATAGTTATATGATAAAAGCTAAAAATGCCGGTGCAAGAAACTAGCAAATGATTATAACAGGAATTTATTCGAGGAAAATTCTTCACTGCAGAGATATTTAACGTGTTGCTAGAATACAGGAAAGCATCAAATATAGAGATAGGCTGCGGAACACAGCTGTTATCGCTTGCATAACTTCCCTCAGGATTATTATTAACACATTGTCACAATTAGCACTCGTTCTCTGCCCCCACAAGAGTTAAAAACAAAGTGTAATCAGGAGAACCAGTATGTAGTTTAACAAACGACACAACGATAAGGGATCAGACAAACCTGTCGACAGGACCACTTGGGGTTCCGACGAAGCTGTCGTGGAGGAGGAAGGTGGGATTCCCTCGATGCACACACACTCACTCACCCGCCACTACTGTGTGCGCCCGGCGTCCACCTGCCCAGGCCTACCTTACCCAGTTCTTGGCACCGGCACCATTGCCTCCTGCCAACCACATTGCGTCACGACGCCCTCGGGGATGTTCCACCCGAGGGGAGTCAAGGGTGCCTATCTTCTCCCCTTCCCTTTACCTTTCCGTGCTCCAGTTCTCCTCATTCCTTCCTGACCCCAATAGAACTCCGTGTATTTCTTCCATCACACACTTACCATTATGTATAAGGCAGAGAATTTTTTATGCACAAGGCAGGTTTTGCGCTTCATATTATCCCGGCCTTATTGGAGCTCGACCTCTACCCCTAACCTCGCTCAAGCGCTCTGCTCCAGGCCTTGCACAAGCTCTCCGTTTACGGCCACCGCCAGCACCACGTCCCAAGTGACCGCCAGCACCACGTAACAAGTGTCCTCGTCTCATCCTATCACGACACCCAAAATCATGGTAAAATGTTGACTAGACCACACACTAGAAGGTGAAGGGACGACGACGTTTCGGTGCGTCCTGGACCATTCTCAAGTCACATCGACTTGAGAATGGTCCAGGACGGACCGAAACGTCGTCGTCCCTTCACAGATTCAGATTCAGATTCAGATGTTTATTCAGGTAAGGTATATACATACAAGTGATGTTACATTAATGGATTGATATATAGATAGAGCTAGTACATACAATGCCTAAAGCCACTATTACGCAATGCGTTTCGGGCAAGAAAAACATTAATATCTAGAACTTAATACTAATTGAGCATAAAGAATAAAAGATGTTGAGAACAAATACAAATAAAGATAAAAAAAAAAGGGGGAACATGACTGAAAAAGCAGCACAAGTACAATAGGTTGACAAACAGTGTTGATTACAAAAAAGAAAAAAAAAGAAAATAACAGACATGGGTTGACAATAGAGGAGTGAGGTAGATTACAGGGAATTTATTAGGTAGTGTTTAGTTTTTATCTTAAACTGGTTGAGAGAGGGACAGTCTTTAACATGGTTGGGAAGGTCATTCCACATTCTGGGCCCCTTGATTTGCAGAGCATTTCTAGTTTGATTAAGACGTACTCTAGGAATATCAAAACTGTATTTATTTCTGGTGTGGTGCTCATGGGTTCTGTTACAACCTTCTATGAAGCTTTTAAGATCAGGATTGGCATTATAGTTTAGCGTTTTATATATGTATAATACACATGAGAGAATGTGCAGTGACTTAATATCTAACATATTAAGAGATTTGAGTAGGGGTACCGAGTGATGTCTGGGGCCAGAGTTGGATATTGTTCTAATAGCGGCTTTGTGTTGGGTAATTAGAGGACGTAAGTGATTTTGGGTAGTAGAACCCCAAGCACAAATACCATAGTTGAGATAAGGATAGATAAGGGAGTAATAGAGAGTCACCAGAGCAGGGCGTGGTACATAATATCTGATCTTAGAAAGAATGCCCACAGTTTTTGAAACTTTTTTTGATATATTTAGAATGTGTCCCTGGAAATTCAGCTTGTTGTCAATGAGAATGCCAAGGAATTTGCCATCTAATTTGTTACAAATTTGGGTATTGTTTATTTTGAGATTTATAAGACTAGAGGATTTATTGCCAAACAGAATATAGAAGGTTTTGTCAATGTTAAGGGTGAGTTTGTTGGCAGTTAGCCAATGATGGACTTTATTTAGCTCAGTATTTACTGTGGCATTTAGAGCAAGAGGGTCAGGACTGGAGTAAATGAAGGTTGTGTCGTCAGCAAATAGAATTGGTTTGAGGTGTTGGGAGGCATTTGGAAGGTCATTAATGTAGATGAGAAAGAGGAGAGGGCCAAGTATGCTGCCCTGAGGAACACCAATGTTGATGGGTAGGGTGGGAGAAATTGTATTATTCACAGAAACATATTGGAGCCTGTCAGTAAGGTAGGACTCGAGGTATTGTAGGGAGTGCCCTCTGACTCCATAATGATGTAATTTAAGAAGAAGGTTATGGTGGTTGACAGTATCAAAAGCTTTACGCAGGTCCACAAATAACCCAACAGGGAGCTCCTTTTTATCAAGGGCTGTATGAATCGAGTTAAGCATACTAATGAGTGCATCGTTAGTGCTTTTTTTGGGTCTGAAGCCATATTGGCAAGGGCTAAGTATATTGAGTTTGGCTAGATACGAGTAAAGCTGCTTGTATATAAGTTTTTCAAAAATTTTTGACAAGTTTGGCAGGATTGATATAGGTCTGTAGTTGTTAACATCTGTGGGATCACCACATTTGTGGACAGGCGTTACTCTCGCTTTTTTTAGAATATCTGGAAAGGTTTGGAGTTCAAGTGACTTGTTGAAGAGCAAAGCAATAGCAGGGGCTAAAGATCTGGAGGCTTTTTTGTATATTAAAGTTGGTATCTCCTCAAGGGCACTAGACTTGGTTTTAAGGGAAAGGATTATCTCATTGACGTCAGTGGAATTAATAGGCTTTAGGTACAGAGACTGTGGATAGTTACCTGTAAGATAGTCCTTAATGTCAGTACTGGAAGATGGTATATCATTTGCAAGGGATGAACCAATGGAAGAGAAGAACCTATTGAACTCAATAGCAGAATCAGAGGCTGAAAGCTGACCATCGTTATTAGACAGGAGAGTCGGTTTGTTATTTAAAGATTTCTTTGATCCCAATATTTGTGAAATTGTGCTCCAAGTTTGTTTAATGTTGCTCTTTATTTGAGTAAATTTATCTTCGTAGTAATTAGTTTTGGCTCGTCTAATTATCTTAGTTAGCAATAATGAGTAATTCTTTGAGAATTCTTTGGAGACAATTCCTAACCTATACTTCTTCTCAAGGTCGTGTTTTTTGTTAATGGATTTCAGTATTCCCTTTGTAAGCCAAGGATTGTTAAGCCTTTTGCTTGTGACTTGTTTTGTAAGCCTAGGACAGTGGGTGTTATAAAGGCTAAGAGTTGTTTGTAGAAAAGATTGCACTGCTAGGTTGATGTCCCCTATGTTACCTAACTCGGACTCCCAGTTGACATTATCAGCAGCAGTTATAAAATTGTTTATAGCAGTTTCATTGTGCAGCCTAAAGCTTAACTCCCTTGTTTCTAGAGGTGGTTTGCTAATGTTAGTTAAGAGAAATGTGGGGTAGTGGTCTGTAGTGCTATCGGTGATTATACCTGAAGTAAGCGGAGAGGTTATGTTGGTCCAGATGTGATCTAGAGTCGTGGCAGTGCTATCAGTGATTCTAGTAGGTCTAGTGATTAAGGGTATGAGGAGGCAGGAATTCATACAGTTGAGGAAGCTAACAGCAGTAGGGTGTTCTGGCTCGCAGAGGTCAATATTAAAGTCCCCTGCGATAATTAGGTGGTTTTTGTTCAGTCTGTTATCAAGTATTAGATTTCTAAGGTTTGAGTTGAATACAGACACATCAGTGTTGGGAATTCTATAGACTGCACCCACAGACAGGACAGACTCAGCACCCTTGACTCTGAAGCTGGCGAAGATATACTCCCCATAGCAGTCTCTAGTTCTAATTTCTTTTAAGCATGTTAGTTCTTGGTGGTAGTAAAGAGCAGTGCCACCACCTCTCTGAAGTTGACGACAGTTGTGAATTGCTGAGTAGTTAGGCATGTTAAAGAGTTGAGTAGTATCCTCTTTCAACCATGTTTCAGTAAGTATAATAAAAGAGAATTTGTTGCCAATAGTTTCAATCAAGGCACTAACATCATCGAAGTGTTTACCTAGGGATCTAACGTTCAAATTGATTACAGAGATATTGTGATTATGAGTTAATACATTGTTTACATCATGTGCTGCAAAATATCTGCAATTTAGATCATTAAAGTGATTATTGTCATAGATAGTGGATAAGAGGTTAAGTTCTGGGTCTATACTTGACTGCATAAAAGAAGCTGATTGTAGAATCAGAAATAAGTAGAAAAAAGCTATAAAATAGGGAAAAAAAATATACACAATACTGTACAAAACAACCACAAAAGGGGCTTACAGGGGTACAATGGAGTAAGGGAGTATGGCTAGGCTAGGCAACCTAGGCAATTAATGAGATTAAAGAAAAAACATGTAAACATGGACTATACAAAACACAAGATATGGAAATACAAAACAAAAAATATAAGCAAGACTAAGCAATACAAAAAAAGAACAAAAAAACAAATTGAGCAAAAATGAGGTAGATTGCTTACGAGTACTCACAGGTACACTGTAAGTAACAATTTGCAATTTGAGATGCAGGCAAAGCCAGGGGTACAATGGAGTAAGGGAGCATGGCAAGGCTAGGCAACCTAGGTAAAAAATGAAATCAAAGAAAAGTTGAATAATAAACATAGGCAAATTTGAGCTAATGATTAATAACTATAGATAGTTCAGTAATGACTGTATAATTAAAAAGACCTGAAGAACTACTTTAATAACTCAATTAAATATTTTCGGTAAATGACTAGGTCACCTTCTAGTGTGTGGTCTGGTCAACATACTTCAGCCACGTTATTGTGACTCATCGCCTGATCATGGTAACAGTTTCTCATGGAGGCCATATATATATATATATATATATATATATATATATATATATATATATATATATATATATATATATATATATATATATATATATATATATATATATATATATATATATATATATATATATATATGTCGTACCTAATAGCCAGAACGCACTTCTCAGCCAACTATGCATGGCCCAATTTGCCTAATAAGCCAAGTTTTCATGAATTAATGTTTTTTCGACTACCTAACCTAACCTAACCAAACTTTTTCTGCTACCTAACCTAACCTAACCGATAGAGATAGGTTAGGTTAGGTTAGGTTAGGTAGGGTTGGTTAGGTTCGGTCATATATCTACGTTAATTTTAACTCCAATAAAAAAAAATTGACCTCATACATAATGAAATGGGTAGCTTTATCATTTCATAAGAAAAAAATTAGGAAAAATATATTAATTCAGGAAAACTTGGCTTATTAGGCAAATCGGGCCTTGCATAGTAGGCTGAGAAGTGCGTTCTGGCTATTAGGTACGACATATATATATATATATATATATATATATA